GGCATTAGTTACACAAAACCTTTTTTCCCAAAAAATTTCAGGGGGGTTTATTCTGAATTTGAATTCTATGCACTTTTGGCAAGAAACCATCAAAATGAATGATGGTGACTGTTTCCTTAATTCTGCTTTTTTGGACCAAGAGTATAACACCAAGCATCAGGGCACCCTCCTTCAAGGAGGGAAAAATTAAATGAGTATACCATACTCTTATTTTAATGCACTCACAATATTTTTGTATAGTTGATAGATACTCAGAAAATCTCAATGAACCTTTGACATGCTACAAGTTAAAACATTCAGACACACTTTTTGAGCTTAATTGACACATGTTAGTTAAAAACAAAATTCAAGTATGTCTGCATTCATCGTATTACAGCCACTCCTCACTTAGCGATGTACTTGTTTTACCAACGACTTTGACTTACGACGGGCTCTCTGAGCAGTATGCATAACCTAATAATGAATATAAGAGCTGATTTTCCTCTTACTGTTTATTACATTAACATTTAAAATTATACCAGAAATGTTATAAATAGTGAAAAATGTGACATTAAAACAATATCAGTGATGGTTGACCCCATACCCAGTACCACTATAGTATGCTCTTCCCCTTAGTGATGAATTCATTTACTGACGTGGTCTTAGGAACGGAACTCCTGTCGTTAAGTGAGGAGAGGCTGTATTTTTAAACCCTTTGACTGTTTTGGTCGTATATATACGTCTTACGAGTCAGTGTTTCGGACGTATATGTACTCAATAATTCTAGCGGCTTCAAATCAAGCAGGAGAAAGCTGGTAGGCCCACATGTGAGAGAATGGGTCTGTGTGGTCAGTGTGCACCACATAAAAAATCCTGCAGTACACAGTGCTTTAATGAGAAAAAAAAAATTTTTTTTTGGATTAAAACGCCAAAATTTTTTGAGGTGTATTTTCTTATAGTATTTATCGTTGTATTCCTGTTTTCATGGTCTCAGGTGATAAAATGGAAAACATATTATAGAAATAGAGATGATTTTCATTACTTTCATGATGAAAACGACCTTGAAATTGAGCTCAAAATAGCGAAATGTTCGATTTTTTTCCAATGTTCAGGGTAAAGCAAATTACACCACACGTCCCTAACGTCAACGGGGGATTTAATTTTCTTTCACTAGTGCACTGATATTATTTATACCATTTTTACAATAATGCAGTAGCTGCATAACAGTAAATTTTGTATTTTTTGAAAGAAAAAAAAAACAAAATAGAAAAGCCTAGAGACGGGGACTAAGAACAGAGGATATGTTTTTTTAGTGTAAAATTTTTACATTGTTTATTCTGGCCCCTATTTTTAATTTTGGCATCTTTTTTAATTTGCATGAAATTGACCAAATTGCCAATTTCGCCCACTTTTTTGGTAAGTTCAAAGGAAAGGGGCAGTTTCTTGTTTTCAATTTAAAAAAAAAAAAAAAAAAATTGGAGCCTAAAGAAATGCTATGATTTGGTCAACTGGAAAATGGAAATTTGGGGCCCAAAAACGGGCCAAAGTCCAAAAATCGCCGATGCATAAATGTTGCCGAGCCCGCTAACTTCGGGGGGAGCGTAACCCGTGAGTTTTGACCAAATTTTCGACTTTTGGGTGTCATTACCATGGGGGAAAAGATTCTCATCTTTTCAAAAGAAAAAAAAATTTTTTTTCTTTTCCAAAAATTTTGGTCAAAGAATGACAGTTTCAGAAAGGGGCTTGCAACAGTAAAAGGGGTTAAACGATCTAAAGAAAAATTAAGTATGAGTAATGGGGCCAAAAATGCATGATAAAGGAAAAACGGAAAAGTTGGTAGGGGTTTCTATAACTTTTGGTAAAGGAACACAAAGAGTAATAGTAAACGAGTAAAATCTGGGGAAGTACAGTGAAAAGCTTTTCCACAAGGTCAGTACCACCCACCTGTTCCCACCTCATACTGACATAGACAGAGATATAACCCATGTGTTTTCTTTTGGGAATGACACCTGATTGCCTAAAAGTGACCTGCATTGAAGACATAGCAAAACCTAATTGGACTCAACCAAATCTTCAAATGGGCCACTTTAAAAAAATTGAATTCATTGAAGAGAAATTTAACTCCCAAAAATAGGAAAAACTTGGGAAAATTTAAAACTATCAGGGTACTCTAAAAATTCTAACCATACAGTAGAGCGAAAAAGTAATGTGAAGGGGCCTGGGAGTGATAAAGTCAGAGGTTTTCACCTTCAAAGACCAAAACAATGTACTATCGCATCTCTGGGGAAAAAAGACAGGATGGATAAAAGAGAACCTTCAAAAATAGGGAGCCAAACCCAGTGATTCTCTTTAAATCGCTTGTTCTCTCTAGGTGGAATACTTCTGTACACTAAAATGCCCCCTTCAAAGCTGGCGACATTCGATGGAGAGTGTACAAAGAGTTTCAAGGCACACATTATTGATTAAGGGACCTAATTGTGGGGGTGATTGAAGTCCCTTGATTTGTTTCCCGGAACTGGTGAGAAAAATGATAATATACTAACAAAAAAGGCACAAAACCGTGACTGGAACGATACACAAATAAAAACCCCACATAGAAAAGAGGGCTTTCACGACGTTTCGATCCGACTTGGACCATTTACAAAGTCCATAACCAGAATGGAAGGAAAGGGTAATTTTGGCAGGAAGAGGTAGTGGTGGTTGTAGAAGCAGTAGTGGTGGTGTAGTAGAACAGAGTGGGGGGGTGTAGAAAGCAGTAGTGGTGGTATGTAGAAACAGTTGGGTGGGAGTAGTAAAGCAGAGTGGGGGTAGAAGAAGCGAGTGGTGGTAGTGTAGAAGCGTAGTGGGGGGGTAGTAGAGAAGCAGTAGTGGTGGTATTAGTAGAAGCATAGTGGTGGTAGTAGTAAAAGCATTTATGGGTGTAGTAGAAGCATATGGTGGTATAGTAAAGCATGGGGTTTGGTGTATAGAGCGTAGTGGGGTAGTATAGAAGCAGCAGTAGTAGCAGTACAGTACAGAGTATGCAGTAGCAGTAGTAGCAGTAGCAGTGTGCATAGCAGAAAGCAGAATTTTAGTGCAGTTTTAGTAGTAGCGTATTAGTGTAGCAGATTAGTAGTAGAGTATTAGTATAGCAGATTAGATGCAGTTTAAGTACAGTTTTGTAGAGTTAGTAAGTATAGTAGTAGCAGTAGAGTAGTAGTAGTGAGTATACGTATATTTGGAGCGTAGAGAGTAGCATAGCAGTAGCGCATAAGTGGTTTTTAAAAGTATTAGTAGGGTGGTGGTGGGGTAGTAGTAGTAGTAGTATTTAGGGGGGAAATTAAGGGGAGGAGCCGTCAAATCAAAGAAAGGGGAGCACTGCAAGGAGCAGGTGCCCACAGAGGGAGAGCAAGTGAAGAGGGGGGGGGGAAGGGGGAAAGTATGAAAAAAATAATGAAGGAACAAAACACGAGACAGAGAAAAAACAACCCAGAGGAGAAAAAAAAAGGGAAAGAGGAAAGGGGAAGGGGAGAAGAAGAAAAAAAAAAAATTGGGAATCAGGTTAAGTCACGGGTGTTCTAATTTGGGAGCTTTTTTGCAATGTAGTGGGAGAAGAAGGGATCTACAGAGACGAAAAGGGGCAAGATTCATAAAAGGAAATTGGATTAGAGAGGATTCAACTAGACTGGACTGTTGATTGGAATTTGGGAAAGACTTTTTTGCGGAAGACCACAATAGGATGGCTGTGATCTCTGCAGACGAACGAGCATTTGTTAGTGTCGGCAAGCTAAACTATTTTGTCTCCTAAGTCTGTCAAAAAGAGATCGACCAGTTTCCCAAAGTACAGTGGACCCTGCCTAACAAACCATCCAAAATGTTAAATTCGCCAAACTTTTACATTTTAACGCAATTTTTGCCTCGGCTAACGTAAAAAACGCCTAACGTATTCGTTCAATCCCAAATTAATTCTTTGGTGAGGGTCCACTGTATTGAAGAGGACAGGAGGAGAAGAAATAGAGTAACCCCAGGAAAACATCGTAGGGAGGAGAGGTATGAACGAGATTAGGCGAAGAGTGTTGGCTGGCGGTAAGAAAGCTTAAAGTCAAGGGATGGAAAGAATTGTTGAGATTAGAAAGCCAAAATGTGGGGAAAGGGCAGAGGACAGAAGTGTTCCCAGGGTGGAGAGTTTGGGGGGAGAAAAAGAAATTCTTTTTAGCACGTAGAGGGCAAGTTTTGAAATGGGAAGGGTAGCCAAGAGGGAAACGAATTATGAAGGTGGAAATTTCTCGGGAAAGGAAACTGAGGATCACAGATGCGAGGGAGGAGAAAGGGGGAGATAAAACACTTTTTTTGACGGAAGATGATAGGAAAAGAGTGAATGTACATCCATGGCATAGGTTTTCAGTAAAAAAAAAGGGAAAAACCGGACGAGCGGGGGGACTAAACATAAAGGAAAAGGGAAGAAAGGGAATTAGATTCCCATTTAGCTTAAACAAAGGGAAAGGGGGCAAGAATTTTAAGAGTTTAAAAAAAAAGGTTGGAAGAGACGACTTGGGTACAAGCAAAGTTTGTCTCCACAAGACACCCAGGTGAAGGTTCACATCGCGGGGAGGAAAAGAACAGTCTTGAAGTTTCCATATAAAGATAAGCAAGGACAGGAGAGAGAGGGGAGCAAAAGTGACACCGAAAGGTTTGGGATATTTCCCCTTTGGAAAAGGAAAAAGGGTTAGAGTCCACACAAGAGGGGATAAAATCAAAAAGACTTAGGTTAGGGGGTGTTAGAAACCCTTCTGGGCCTTTCTTACAAATTTCCCTTTTACGGGGGCCTCAAAAATCGAACGTATCACATTGAAGTTTCGGAAAAAAGGCCCTTTTTTCGGACAAAATGTGTCCCTTTTTGAAAACCGGCCCCCACGGGACCGCCGGGTACGGGGGCCCGGCGCGGCCGCTCGGGCCGCGTCCCGGCGGCCCCCGGAGCGTCTGCTTGTTTTGCTTGAGTGAACCTAACCTGCACCCCTCATTCACGCATTTTTTACGATTATTTCGTTTGTTTATGCTTGTGGGACTGGTTGAAATTAAACTGCCATGGGCCCCAAAGAAAATTGCTAGTGGTACCCTGTGGTAAAGGGAAAATGGGGAAACACCCTAGATGTGAAAAAGGAAATAATACAAAGATGAAGGGTGCAGATTGTTGAGCTTGCCAGGGTGTAGGGGAAAAAAAGTTGACCATCGGTTTTTACCTGTCAAAGAAAAAAAACAAAGGGAAACTGATGTTCGAAAGGGTTAATATAGGGGTGGATGAGGTGCCGCCTTCAAAGATTAAGGAGATTTGGCCAAGTGGAAAAGAGTCCAAATGTTTGTGCAGAAGTCCCCCTGAGCAAGCTGAAACAAGCCATCTTTGCAACAAGTTCAGTGACAGAACCATGTCCCATTTTAAGGAAATGTTTAAAGAGGCACCAGAAACAGAGGACTGTGGACAGTTATTTTTGTGAGACAGGGGTCCAGTGTTCTCAAGCTGGTCCTAGTGGCATTAAAAGACAGAGAAGGGAAGTAACCTCAAAAGGGCTTTACCTGAAGTCCTCATGGAGGGGGGATTCTCCTTCCAAACACTAACCCCAACTCCCCCTCCCCCCTCCTCCCTATCTTCCAGATTCCATCACCAATCTTCAATAAAGGTAAGTAAAAATGTTATTTTATATGTATTACTATACATAATTAAAAACTATAGTATTGTTGTATGTAAAACTGTAATTAATCTCTATAAAATGTATTTTTGTGATATTTTTGGGTTTCTGGAACGGATTTTAAATTTTATTTCCATTATTCTTATGGGAAATATTGTTTGAAAATTTTAAAATTTTCGAATTTAGAACTAGCTCCTGGAACAGATTAAGTTCGATTTTTGAGGTTCCACTGTATGAATCTGAGTTCTGGCTTTGTCTCTGTAGATGCCTTCCTCTCCCACTACATTGTAAAATGCTCCCAACTTCAGAACACCCGTGGCTCCTTATTTTTTTCTTTTTCTTCTTTTTCCCTCTTCCCTTCCTCTTTCCTTCCTTTTTTCCTTGGGTTGGTTTTCTTTCTTCTGTCTCTTGTTTTTGTTCCTTCATTATTTATTTCTCACTTCCCCTTACCCCCACCTCTGTGCACTTGCTCTCCCTCTGTGGGCACCTAGCTCCCTTGCAGTGCTCCCCTTTCTTTTATTTGACTGGTTTCCCCCTCCTTAATTCCCCACTACTACCACTGCTTGCTGCGTGCTGTTTCTGCCCCGCCGCCGCCGCCGCCGCCGCGCCCCCGCCGCCGCCCCCCGCCCCCGCCGCCGCCGCCGCCGCCGCTGCCGCCTCTTCCTGCCTATATATACCCGTCCTGCTCCACTTCTGGTTAGTGTGACTTTGTAAATGGTCCAAGTCGGATCTAAACATCATCATAAGCTCCTTCTTTTCTATGTGCGGGTTATTTGTGTATGATAATATACATTTGGAAAATCTAGAGGGATTAGTACCAAACTAGCAAAATTGAAAATCACTCCCTATGAAAGGAAAAGACTCGACAGGAGATGCAACATTCCCCCGATGAAAAGCAGGGGCGCCACGAGTACACTGAGAGACAATACAGTAAGTGTCAGGGGCCCAAAACTGTTCATCTGTCTCCCAGCATACATAAGGGGGATTACCAATAGACCCCTGACTTTCTTCAAGAAGGCACTGGACAGGTATCTAAAGTCAGTACCTGACCAACCGGGCTGTGATTTGTACGTCAGTTTGCGTGCAGCCAGCAGTAACAGCTTGGTTGATCAGACCCTGATCCACTACGAGTCCTGGTCTCAGACCGGGCCACAGGGGCGTTGACTCCCGAAGCCCTCTCCAGGTCTCCAGGTATGTCTATGTTCATTGTATTGTTTAAAACACATTGGGCAAGCAGGATTTGAAGACTGTATGGAAAACATATAATTGCAATTTGTTTTTCACTTACATTACATTGTCTCATATTTTCAGTTAAAGTCACAGCTAGAAAAGGTGAACCATGTTAATCGTGAGCTGCGTCGCCGGCAGCGAACAAACGCTACACAGATGCGATCCTTGATTGATGAGCGGGCTGAGCTGCAGGCTGCACTGCAGGAGGAGACTCGTGCTGTTACCATCCTCAGGCAGAGATTGGGATTGGCTCAGAAGGAAAATGAAGATCTGGCTAGTTCCAGTGTGAGTCTTAATGCCACCTACTCTTTTATCTCTCTTGTATTTGCTTCTGTGGCTATTTTCTTATCATTCCAACTAAAACAATGGCCTGGGGCTGTATTTTCTGGGAAAAACAATACAGTATATGCAGTTAAACCCAAAAATTTATCCTATATAATCCACATGATTCAATCTGATTACTCAACATGTGGCTAAAGGCCACTTCTTGCTTAGCTTCAATTATTCACATTTTTTAATGTTGCCATTATTTTGGGTTAACAATCCCTAAATTGAAACTAACCATAGGATTTAATTCAAAATGTACTTTCTTTCTGAATGTTAGTATTTAGCAGATAAGAACATTACAGTGGACCCTCGAATTTCATCATCCCTTTTCTGTATGTAAAACTATAGTTATTCTCTATAAAATGTATTTTTTGTTAATGTTTTTGGGTGTCTGGAATGGATTAATTGGATTTACGTTATTTCTTATGGGAAATATTAACAAAAAATACATTTTATAGTTTTACATACAGAAAAGGGATGATGAAATTCGAGGGTCCACTGTATTTAGATATATGTACAACAGTTACAAAAATTTTAAATGTTAAAATGCTAAATTTACTAATATCTGAAATTTCAGGCTGCATGTCACCTTCAGAAGTAGAACCCCTGCAGATTATGGCTTTCAGCTGTATATAGTGGAAGGTTGAACTTGGTGTCACATTCACAAAGATACAAACAATCAAACAACATCAATCATTGAACATAATTATTTACACACTAATGATATTTTAAAACTCCTCTTCCTTAAAGCGATCAAGATACTCTTGTAAATTTTCTTGAATGCATTCCACTTTGTTATTGTTACCTATTTCCTCTGTTTTGGATCCTTATTCACTCTTGGAACCGTAATTTTAGTATCAGTATATTACTACTACTACTACTAGTAACTACTTTCTAGTACGACTAAATAGTACTACTACTAGTACTAAATACTATTACTACTATAGTACGAAATACTAGTACTACTACTACTAGTACTACTACTACTAGTACTACTACTACTACTACTGTACTACTAGTACGCTACTACTAGTATACTACTACTAGTACTACTACTACTACTAGTAATACTACAGTACTATACTACTAGTACTACTACTACTAGTATTACTACTACTACTAGTACTACTACTAGTACTACTACTACTAGTACTACTAGTAGTACTACTACTACTACTAGTACTAGTACTACTACTACTACTACTACTACTATTACTACCACCACCACCACTACTACCACCACCACCACCACCACTACTGCTACAACTACTGCTGCTTGTATTACTGAAACTATAAAAGCTACAAAAACAATAATTTTTAATTTGTGGTACATAAATATTATGAGTCAATTTCCAATTAGTGTACAGATTAAAAAAACAACTAAGCATGTGCAGCATTTGGGGCAAACTTAAACTAATACTGAACTATAAATGATTTATATAACTTAAGGAATGGATGGCCATGCTGACAAAGTAAGATTCATTCGACTAGTTGGATGAATTTTACATCATCCAAATAGTAGTTGGACAAATTTTCTCATTCAGCTAGTTGGATGAATGTTATTTGATTAGTATGATAGTGGCAATTCCAGTTTTTAATTACTCTGTATTAAGCTGTGGGAACACTACTAATCATTTTCAGCTTTTAGATTGTTAAGTGTAATACTATACAATCTTTTGAGGGCTGGCTTCACTGGAAGTGTTGTAGAAGCAAGGAAATTGTAAGTTGATTCACCACTTAAATTACTGTATTTTATGGTGAACAAGATGCTCCTGTGTTGAGGACGCCACTCTCTCCTCTTACCCTAATTCTGACTGGCTAAGTTTTGGAAAAAAAAAAGATAAAAGATACTTTGGCCTCCATGACGCTAGGTAAATTTGAGACCTTGGGAAAAAAACGGCATCTTTGATTCTGTAAAATGCAGTATACAGTGGACCCCCGGTTAACGATATTTTTTCACTCCAGAAGTATGTTCAGGTGCCAGTACTGACCGAATTTGTTCCCATAAGGAATATTGTGAAGTAGATTAGTCCATTTCAGACCCCCAAACATACACGTACAAATGCACTTACATAAATACACTTACATAATTGGTCACATTTGGAGGTGATTGTTATGCGGGGGTCCACTGTATACTGTACTGTACTGCATTTTTTAGTTCAAAAGTTCTAAAGAAATAATACTAGGATTTTTTTGTTTGTTTTTTAACATGCTGGGCATCTCCCGCTGAGGCAGGATTGCCCAAAAAAGAATGAAACACTCTCACCATCATTCAACACTTTCACCATCATTCATACATAATCACTGTCTTTGCAGAGGTTCCCAATATCCCAAACCCCTCCTTTAACATGCAGGCATTGTACTTCCCACCTCCAGGACTCAAGTCCAGCTAACCAGTTTCCCTGAATCCTTGATTATTTTGATATAGTTGAGAATATGAATGAACCTTATTTACTTATGATGTGTTTATCATAACTTTTCAGACTGATAGCTTGGACCTTACAAACAAGTTGGTGTTTGATCGAGATGATCCAAACAGGCCTCGATTCACAATGACCGAGCTCAAGGAGATTCTCTACGAACGCAACGAACTCAAAGCCCGTGTGTCTGATCTGGAAGATGAACTGGAAATGTATAGGCCCAAGGACGAGCGACAGTACGTAGTGCGCGAAAGTCTTTTTCATTCTGCATGCAACGTGTGTGCCACAGTGACTCTGATTCAGCTCACCCTATTTGTTGCCCGGCTGATCCTTGCATGCCTGGCAGTGACCCATAGGCCATAATGAGTGCATTTAGGATGGACCAGGATGAGTAGCGCTTGCTCAGTGGGAAAAATCTTAGTTTAATTTTCTTAGACTCGTAGATTAGAACTGCTTCCATGACTGCTGAAGGGAATCAGTAAGTCGGAGGAGTAATAAAAAACACCAGTTTGATAACAAACTATTAGAACCTAATATCCTTTTTTCATTTTCATATGAAGGCTAACTTTTAATATCACAAAGTGATGTTCTAAACATGGTCCAGATTTATCTTGCGTTGTCTCGTGTACCTGTGATAGATGCGTAACTTAAAGGATCAAACTTAGATAAGAAGCTACTAGTGCAACTAATAACATTTAACTGTGCCACAACATTAGTTTCTATAACAAGGATGTGATAAAGCTGTACAAGCTAACTTTCATAAGTGCCTTACTATACAATTAAGGGGAACTTCCTAAACTAAGTGCCAAGCATTGTTATTGTAAAATGTGGATGCTATATTTTTATGTTTAAATGGTTTATATATAAAGCATATTCGGTATATATATTATTGTATTTAAATCAACAAGATGCTAATACTAGTCTAAGTCAATATAGTTTAACACAATATTGACATACACCGTCCGTTTTGACTTACATCAGATGCTGGCTATGTGGGGCTGAGATAGGTATGAAGAGGGATGACCTACACACATCTCTCATGCCTAGTTAGGTTTTGGGTTTGTATCCAAAAAATACAACATTATTAGCTTGTAACTATACCAGTTACATTTTTTAAACTCAGGTACTTTAATTGATTCCTTGAAAGCTTGAAAATCGTATGATTTGTGCTTTGCTTTTCACTGCAGTATTGATATAGCCACTACTGTGTTGTAGATATTTTTTTGTAGTCTACAAAAAGGTGTTATGTCTTTGACAGAACATCTTCAATATCATTGATATTGAGTTCAAAACCTTTCTCCTGCTGTCTTTTTGAGAATTAAATTAGAGGAGGGTTCTGCTTTTTTAAAAATATGTATAAGTTTATCGTTTCTTCAAAAAGTTGGCCCTTTTTCGTCAAAGGGAAGTGTTACGGAAAGAATTTGCATTTGTGCTTCTGGTAAAAAAAATTCAGGTCAAGGGGTTTAAACGCTCACCCCTCCCTTCTCTTTCATTTTAGGTCACCTGCTTTATAATGGCATGGCTTACAATTTCAAGATTCTAGCTGTTTTACTTTTTCCCATGGTGAAGACTGTAATATTTTATAAACACACCGTCTTTCTCCCCCCAAGGCAGGGGTGACCCAAAAAAGAAATGAAAGTTTTTCTCCTTTTTATATTTACTAAGTAATACAGGAGAAGGGGTTACTAGCCCCTTGCTCCCAGCATTTTAGTTGCCCTGTACAACATTCATAGCTTATAGAGGAAGGATTCTTCTCCACTTCCCCATGGAAAGACTATATATCTCTTTTATATTTAAAGTACAGCACCCTGAACACTCACAATAGCCATAGTGCTAATGTAAATACTTAGTGCCAGAGCCTTGTAGCGATTGCTCTCTTCATTATTAAGTATGTAGGTTTGTTAGTAACCACAAACCTTCAAAATAATATATATAATTTAGGGAAATTTGAAATTTCTCTTTCATATGATTCATAATTTTTATTTTTCCTTCTCTCTGAAGAGGAGTTTTATCCTTTAAATAAGAATATTTATGACTTAAGTTTACTAGTTTTTATTATATGAAATTTTCAAAAGAGTTTTTATTCGTAATTTTACCAGACAGTGTTTATCAACTGTTGAGGTATTAACTGTGATAATTTAAAGTTTTATTTATGTTTGTTTCAAACAAATACTACAAGATGCAATATAGTTTAGATTTTGTATTAACCATATGGTTCCAAAATTGATCATTCAGTTTCTCACAGTGTATGAGTCGCATTTTATGGGTTTTTACCTGTCAGCATATATGGGTGCCTGAATATAATTGGTGAGCTGTAGGCAGTTTTGTGCAGCTTGTGAGGAGACAAAGGCCATGAAACTTATTAATTTTAGTATATGAAGAAGATTCCTGTGCATAAAATCCATCTAATATTTGTGAGGTGTTAAATTACTAGAGGCACAAAGGTGTAAATGGGGAAGGCAAAAGCCACATAATATATAGGGTTATATATTATCATAACATATAGGGCAACATTACAAGCCAAAATGGTTGTCGAGATGCTGATCATAAAATAGATTAATACACAAATGACCCGCACATAGAAGAAAGAAACATATAATGACGTTTTGGTCTGACTTGAACTATTAACTGGTATAATTTGGACCTAAACACCATCATAAGCTTCTGTTTCCTATGTACAGGTTATTTGTTTATTGTTCCAGTCATGGTATGGTGCCTTTTTATTATTATTGGAATAGATTAATTTATCAAAGAGGGAGAAAGATAGTGCATGACTAAAAGGTCATCGTATTATCGCACAATAAGAGGAGAATCATACTCAAGTTTTCTTGATCATTTCTTATGTATTGGGTAAGAATGATAGTCATGAGCTATATACCTCCTCAGCCTCACTCCAGCATCCTATTGTTCTGTTTTTTGATAACAGTTTCATTTGTGAAATTCCTGTTCCATCCTAAGCTGACCTACCAAATTTTGTGTCAAATGTTAAGGCTGATTACATTGGGGATTGCTGATATCAATCGGCTTGATGCCATTTTCTAGAACTTGGCATGCTGTCTTTGGTCTGATATTTCAAATTATTAATTTTTTTTTTAGTATGAAATTCTAAGTAAAACTTAGAACAATTTCTTATGATCTCATTCTTAAAGGAAAGTTGAACAGATGTTACAGTCGCGTTAGCAGTCTACAGACTTCAGAGTAGACAGTTCTAAAAGATGGTCTACTGCCCCATGTAAGATCATTTTGGGTGTAATTCAGGTTTGATTAAGGGAACTTTTTTTTTTTTTTTCCAAAATGTTGAGGGAATGCTCAATTTTCTTCCATTTTGAGGACCAGTTAATTATACAAAGGAAGACATAACAAATATCTAAATCAAACCTGAATGAGGTAGCAGCTGGGACGGAGTACAGTAGTAGTTCTATAGATTTATTTTTAGTACAGTAATCAAGACCTTGTAGACTTAAGAGTGTTATCATGTGTTCGTTAATTGCATTCACTGAAACATTATCCTTTTACTTAAGTTTAAGAATCTGTGGGCTGACCACTGATTGTACAGTACAGTTTACTGCATTTATATTTTTGCCTGGTGAATGTTGCTGTAAAAGATATTAGGCACAAGATTGGTGCTCTAGTGTAAGCATAATGATTAATTGCTGTAACTGGTAAGATGGCTTCTTATGCTACCATTGTCTATCAAGGTCTTGACTTTTTCTTATATGATTTTTTTTACATTCGATAAAATTACATAAAATGTTAAGATTGTTACAAGAATCACTTGTGGTTGTGTACCTGGATGTGATGACCATGACAATAATTGCCATATTGTCTGTGTGATACAATACAAAGCATGAATATTACTTGTGGTGTAGTTTGTTTCCCCTCTTTTCCTCGTGTCCTGTGTGCATCAGTCACCTCCTTAGTTAAGTACTCTGCATCAACCTAAATGTAGACCTTATCTGATCCCTCTCAAGAATGATACTATGTTATTCAATGCACACACACACACACAATATTATTTCTTCCATTCTCAGTTTTGTACACAATCATAATGCTGCCAGCATTGTGTGTTATTAAACAGTATGGAGATTTGTAGATAAATGGTTCAGAGAACCAACAAGTTGATAAATTAAAACACTTGTGCAACACTTGGGTATCTTTATTGTGGAAATGTTTCACCAACCAGTGGCTTCCTCAGTCCAGTACAGAGAAGAATGGTTGAAGATAAGGAGTTTGAGGTAATCAGTCCTTCAGCCTGGAGTTGATATGATCAGTCCATTAATGGACTGATCAGTCAATCAATCATCCAAGACTGATTACCTCAAACTCCTTCTGAACTTCAACTATTCTTCTCTGTATTAGACTGAGGAAATCACTGGCTGGCAAAATGTTTCCACAATGAAGACACTCAAGTGTTGCACAATTGTCTAATCCATCAATATGAAGACTATCATATATGTATAAGCAAAGATTTGCACAAGAGATTATTTTTTGCATAAGATATTTGATTTTAGGCTTCAATTAAGCAGATTAAAATAATTATTGCTGGGAATTTTGGTGTTCATTTTTACAAGAAATTTGGCCAGTCTCAGGTAATATAATTTATTCTGTAAAGCTTAGTATTTTATACAATGTAAAATGTTGACTTCACGAGTGTTGGTTATGTATTCTACACTGTCTTTTTCCATAGCTCAGACAAGCAGTTCACCTTTCTTAATATTTTCTATAGTAGCTATACAGTACATGTACCTTTAGAAGTTTTTTCTTATAACTGACACTTCTATGTTGGTATTTTCCTCATTATTATCCTTAGACTCTCTGTGATTTTGAACTATGATTTTTTCCCCTTTTTGAGTAAGTAGTTTAACTCTTATTAGTAAGAGAATAGAATTTTAGCTTTAATTTTTATCACTTTTGAGTAGCCTACAGTTAAAAAAAATAGTTTTAAGTATCAAAAATAGTTTATAAGTATATTAGGAAATAATCTTCTGTCTTACTATGGTGAGTACCTTATTGTAATGTGACCTTTAAGTAAATTGTTCTAGATAATGCAATATGGTAATGACGCAGAGTTTGCAGAGTAAATCTTTATTCTGATAAGGTTCATCCTGTGTTGAGCTTGACACTGACACATTGTTAGATGCAAGAAGTGCTCTGCAAACTGTCTCTTTACCAGTCAGATCTGATAATACAATAAAATTCAGAAATGATGTATTGTAATAATGTTGGTAGAATTAAT